TGAATGGCTCAACTTGAGTAATTTTCAGAAGTTAGTTGTGTACATGTCTCTCTCTCTTTTATCACGTATTTTATACTAAACAAGAAAACTTCCTGTAATAGAAGTAGTCCTAGGTCCTTGCTCAATACAATTTCATCTTCAAAGGGCACACTTCCAAATAGAACAAAACTAGTTCTAAGAGTAAACTTGACATGTTCTCGTAAACAAAAGTTTTAGGTCAGGGCAAGCCTGCATACGCTCTCTTATCACAATCATCTCATCCTTTCACCGCCGGATTTTTGGACTTGGGAAGTAGAGTATCTATCTTTTGAAGTGGAGGGATAGTCACTTTACTAAATCTTCAAGCGATAAATTTAAAGCTTAAAAGGGCAAGTGTCATGATTGTTTGGCTTTAGAGGAAGACTTAGTACTCAACAAAAAGTGATACGGTTTCAAAGCAAGTGCTTGTAGTCGTTGTGAGAGGTCTAGGCTTTTTACCTAAACAAGAAGCAATGTCATTGTTATCACGCGACTTTGCCCAAAAGTTTTGGCTCAGCAGCTTCAAGTTTCAACTCTCCACTCTCTCTAAATAATAGAATTTCAAATTTTGAATCCTTGTAAACTTGTAATCTTGACAAAAGATAACAAAATCCTCTAACTTGTGGTTTGAATAAGCAAAATCATCAGAACTTGAAAACAAACAAGTTCGTTTCCATTCCATGTGGTATGGTGGTAGTGGTCCAAAAAATTCCAAGCTTGCTGTCAATTTGTAGGGCCCATTTTATTTAAACCCTGTGGATGGTGGAGCCCACTTAATTCAACAAAAAACAATTTCAATTTCTTGTCATTTTCTCAACTGTCTTGCAATTTTGGATGATGAACAGAAGCCCAATTCAACATTATCTATTCCAATTTAATCTGAAGAAATTGCAAAGGTGGGGCCCAGCCCAATTTTGAACATGGCCAGAATTTCATTTGTAGGCCTGTGCGAGGGTTGGCCGGCGTCATCATCCTCGTCGTGGGTGGTAAAGGAGACAAACAAAAGCGGACCTGTTCCATGAATATTTAAAAGCCGTTGGTTTTACGTACATAAATAAAAAGAATCAAAAAAGTTCGTGGTTTTGTTGTGGATGTGAAACCCACCAGCGATGACAAGGATGAAGAAGCTTACCCAAATTGCTTTTATCCGTAATTTTTGGTATCTACCAAAAAAGTTTGGTTTTTTCATTGTCAAGTCATGGTCATATTTTAATTGAGGGTTTCTTGATGCTCGCATAAGTCATGTAAGTTTTTATGTTATACATGGAATGCCTAAATTAAAATATGATAACATAAAAACTTATATGGAATGCGTGTAGCAATTCATCTCATAAAAATTAGTGGTCATGTACTACTCACATTAGCCAATATTGTAAGAGATAATGTGTAAACCCATTACATGTCCATCGTACAATAATGGACATCTAGTCTTATGCCAACGGAGTCTAGGCTAATAAAAAAGGGCTTTGACTTGTAGACCAGTGATCTAAAATGCGGTGGACTCAATTTACCTTATGGGTAGATTGTTAAACTTTGGGCTGGATTAAACCTTAAAATCTATATACTAACTATAAGAAGAAGAAAAAAACTCACATGGACTATAGCCCCGTGTTAGATACTGATATGGTTTGTTCATGAATCCCACATCAAGAATATAAAGTATTGAGTATAATAATAAACGTCTATAACATTTTGAGCATTTTCAACTATTGTTAATTGGTTTTGAATTAGATGATCTAATCTATTTCCAATTTTTTCAAAGATCAAGCCCTATTATTGGATGAAATAGTTGCTTATGTTATTGAATGCTAATCATGTGACGCCATTTAGATAAAGCAATTCGATGCCATTTAGATAAAGCAATTCGAATTATGGGGAATTGGCAATCACCATGTTTCAAGAAAGATAATGGTGCCAAATTAGTGGAGTGGTGTTGGAACTTTTGGATTGTGAAGGGTCCATATCCACCAACTTAATTATCGTTTAGGTCGGCACACATCCATCAACTTGATTGAGTGTTGAATGGGAATTGAAATAATTTGTATAGCAGTCATGGGAGTACGGGATTTTGTTATTCTTCCACTAAGGGATGGTAGAAATTTTTGACGGGTCAGGTCTTTATTGGGTCCCTGATTTTAATGGGTGGAGATTTCAGAAAAATTTGAGGGTGGGTACGGATGGTATTGTTATCCATATCTCTGAACTCGGCCCGATATAAATAAATTTTAACTTCTTTCCTCGAAGATACTTGCTGTATTAAGTCTTGAACGGATAATGAATTGTAAATATGTTATTCCAAGAGGAATTGTGTGTTTTTTTGTTGTTGTGGTAAATACCAAATTTAAAATGTTTCACCTCACTGACTTTTAAGTTTTAACTTGGACAAGAATACAGTGATAATAAGGTTGTTTTTGGTTTTGCTTACTTTTGCACTGGAATTTCCCTTCAAGTTCAATAAAAATCATACATTCTCGTACATGGGATATGACTTGGTTACAATTGATTTTGCCTAAATGAGATTATAGTATTATGGCATTAAATTTAATTTCATCCCCATCTCTTGGTTTCAAAATAAAAATTGCAAGTTGCATGGGGGGATACCTTAATATCACAATAATGATCGACATCCAACCACTTTGTTATTAATTAGGATGCATTTTGTTTGTGTCGACAGAGGTTTTTTTTGTTTGTATCCATTTACTTTTTTACAAATTTATAAATAAACCCAATCCTAGACATGTATTTATAAAAAAACCCAAGCACTATTTAAACATAGAAACACACCCAAAATCAACCCCAAAGTCAACAATTGTATATTTTTTGGGTGTGTTTATAAAGTGTTTTGAGTGTTGGGTTTTTTTATAATTTCAGCTCCCATTTTGGGTGTTTTAGTGAAACTCCTTTTTTTTTTTCTAGTGAAAAAAGTACAAAAGATTTTTTTTAAAAAAAAATTCAGATTTGCTTCGGGCAAATATTTTCGTCTAATTTTATTTTTAAATTTCTCTGCCTATTTGAATGAGGCCACCCAAAGGAGCCAATTAACCAAGCCCGAGTTGAATCGGGCCTACTCAGTTTGAGTCAGTCCATAGCCATGGGCTTGTAATTATGCCCAGCCCAATCATTCTCGTTCAGTCCTGTTTGCGAAGAGCTTGGCAATCTCTCTCCGTAAAATCACCGACATAAAAATATAGAAAATTTCGAAGGAACTGCAAGCCCTAGAGTGGCACTGTCAGTCTTTAGCTCTATCTCTTTCTGGTTTAAGCCGCCGATTCGGTAATTTTCTCCGCGCTTCCTTCATTTCTTGTTCTCTATTTATCATGCTTTCATTTCTGTATTGCCAGAATTGGGGGGTTTTTTTTTTTGGTCGAAACCAGAATTGGGTTTGATTTCATTCGTCAAAGAAGAAGTACTGAATTAATGGGTTTTGATTATTTTATTCGGTTACGATTCAAAGGGTGTTCATTGGTCATCAAATTTGGGAAAAAATGGAATTTTTTGAATTTGATCGAAGTTAATTAGCATTTGCGTTTATTGTTCGTTCTTATTTACACTGCAACCGGTTCAATTTGTGCTTTGCTCATTGACACTGCAACTGGGTTAATTTATGCTTGTTGATTTGCGCTGCAAGTGGGTTAAAGTATGCTTGCTGATTTACACTGCAGCTTGGATAATCTGTTTTTGCTCGTTTACACTGCAATTGGGTTTTTGTTCATTATTGCTCTGAATCCTGTATCAATATTTGTGCTTGGTGATAACAGTAAGAATATTTTTTTGTGCTATGTTTTGATTTTCAAGCTTTGTAACATTTAATTGAACTTGTTCTGATGGTTTAAGAGAATCTATCTTCTTGGTTTTCAAGCTCTGTAACTTCTGCTCTGTGAGCTCGCTTGTTTTTTATTTTTTATTTTATTTTAATGTGAATGCTTCAAACCATTATGTTCAAATGAAGTATTATATTCTATGGATGAGACACACTGGAGTTTGAAAGAATTTTGCAATGATGGTAATGCAGCGGCATATGATAGTGCATTTTGCCCATTGAAATACAAGTTCTGTCAGGGCTTGTACCTTATATACACATTGGGTCGTTGCTGTTTTCATTTATTTTTTCTTTTTCCAATCCCTTGCAAGGTC